AAGAATTAATAGCGACGTATAACGTATAGTATACATAGCGTATAATACAAATAGCGACGTATAGTATAACAAATGTTATACTACAAATTAATTTCTATTTATTTAAACTTCACTACATAAAAATTTAATTTGTTAACAATAACTTTAAAAACTAATTCTGAATTGCATGGCATTTCTCGAGGTTATGTTATCGATAACCTTGTCAACGTGACAAAGATTTGTTTAGTTTGTGCTACATTTTCCACTCGGCCGTACATCTTAGTTGTTTACTTCTTTAATGAGTATTGATATTGCGTGGTACTGGGCCGTTAAATTCAATTAACTCTCCTGTCTTAACACAACACGATGAGCTTATGCGTCCATTAATTTGTCAATTTTGGATAACACCATCTGGAAAAAAAATCCATAGGCTAATAATAGAAAAGACGTTTCACAGACGAATAACCTTTCGTGTTGTATCTCGGTGTTCGATTTTCGACCATACTCAAAAATAAGAAAACCCGCCATATTTTATATTTGTTTATCCCACGCGATACGTAGTCTTTAACATATTCTTGGCGTTTAAATGTCAACTTTTGGGAATTTTCCAAAAGGTTACGACCCCCGAGTCAAATGCGCCGTTAAATCTTGGGTGTAGTGTTTTTCATTCGATTCCGGGTTCTGCCTCTGGGTAGTCGGCAGTGTAAACAAGAAGCCTATACGTGCCAAGTCTGAGGGTATGGATACTTTTATGATATTAATAGAGCTTAAAGATTTGCAGCAAAACAATGCGTTTGAAACTTCTTCACTCCTCGTCCCTTAATTTCCAGCCTTGAAATGAGAAAATCAATATAAATTTCGCAACGGAATTATGAAAGAGCTTTTAAATTAATTGATTATTTAAATCACGTTAACTTTTATTCACCTTTATGAAGTGTACGCTATAAATAGAATATCTAAAAAAAATTATTTCAATGGGCAAGTTTTTATACAACGTAATTAAATAATAGGGTGGGAGCATTGATAAATTATGTAATGTTTTATTACGTGTACTGCAGAATACATAGGTAAATATGGGTTTTAACATATAATTAATATACAAAACCAGTTTTTTCCTCTTCAAGATCATCAAGTTAAGAGAGATGACACCTTAAAGGAAATTCAGGGGAAGTCGGACTGTCCAATCTCGCCCTTGACTGGTTTTTTTCTTGTTATTTCCATGGTGAGGGTCAATGAATTAATAAAATACAATCTCCCAAAATCATAAATTGAGGACGCTTGTTCGCTCGTCATCTCATTTCATCAGTCATTTATCAGTTTTATTTTTTTTATTAAATGGTTTTTTTTATTGTTATTCAGATATCGGGAAAACATTTTCTTTATCGTGCCAACGTTTCGATCTTTATTAAGATCATCTTCAGGCCCTGGGATTTACAAACATTGTTTACAAATAACAATTACATTTTGGATGTGGAAAAGTGAATTTATACAATGCAAAATATATTTTTATATATTCAATCAAAGTATTTCTACTCACTCAAAGTGTTTGTCTTCTGTGTAATTGTGCCATCCTAGCGTGTCGTGTTGAGAGTGCCAGTGAGATTGTGCTGTTTTATGTTTATATATGTTTGGTTTTTAAGGGGTGGGGATGGAAGTCGGTATATAAAAGACAATTTTGTGTAAGGCGTCGGCTTCTTTGAAGTAAAAAAAGCCGACAAAGGGGAACAATGTGTTGGTAATGGTTCGTCCAGATTATCCTTTCAGGATTATATAGAAAGGCATAAATAGGAAAAGGATAGCTAAATTGTTGGGAAATTAGACTATGTGAAAAATATTTGATGTGTGTAATATAATGTGATGATATAGGTATGTTATCTGTATTGAATTTGATTAATGATATTGGCGTAGCTGCGACTAAGTTTACATGTATATGTTCTGTAATTGATGCTGTGTTTATCTCTGTTGATATAAACCATTTCTAAGATATTACTTTTGTGTTTGTTTTGTTCTGTGTGTAATACTTTTGGATTTTTGAAGTCGAAATTGTGTTGGTGTTCAAGATGGTGGGTAGCGAGTGCTGTAGGATTTTGCTTAGGTTTTTTGCAATCATAGATATGTTGCTTTACTCTCTTGTCCAGATATTGGGATGTAAAACCGATGTAAGTTGCCGGACAGTTTAAACAATTAATCTTGTACATTACGTCAGATTTATTTGTTATTGGTGTGGGATCTTTAATTTTGGAACACTTTGTTCATTACACAGAAGACAAACACTTTGAGTGAGTAGAAATACTTTGATTTAATATATAAAAAATATATTTTGCATTATATAAATTCACTTTTCCACATCCAAAATGTAATTGTTATATGTAAACAATGTTTGTAAATCCCAGGCCCTGGAGATTATCTCAATAAAGATCGAAACGTTGGCACGATAAAGAAAATGTTTTTCTTAAACCTACATCACACCAGACCGCATCTCACGATTTCTAAATAAATATCGATTAACGGTCACTAATCACCACACATTTAGCAATTTGTTTGTAGGGATCGATAAAAGAACTGTCAGGAACTCGCGTTTTGATCTGGTCCGTCACGAATGGGATGCCTAGATTTTTGTTGGTTTGGTTAATGTCATAGAAGGAAGCGTTCAGGATGCGACGAAAGGCATTTGATTCAAAGGAGTGGATTCTTTGGATGTTGGATGCCTTGACTGAACCCTAACTACAACCCCATTAGTCCAAATCGGTCTAATTAGTGACTTGTATATTGTTAGTTTATTGTGTGCACTCATTGTGGATTTGGGTTCAAGTAGGAGTGTGAGTTGTCCGTACCTTCGGTTCAGTTGATGTCTTTTTTATTTGTGTTCCATGTAAGTCTGCTGTCCAAGTTGAACCCAAGGGAGCGGATTTGATTGGACGTAAAGATTACGCTTACTGTATATGTACACTGGTGGGCAGGTATTTCTCGTATAAAGTGCGAACGTCACGTGCCGGCTCTTGTTCATTTAGGTTGATGCGCCACCGAGTGTAACAGTCGGTAATGAGGATTAGATGATCATGGGTTGCTTTTTGCTGAACGATAGGTTCAAGCGGGAAAGGGAGACGATTGCGGTCGTGATGTGGGTATTAGGGTGTATATATATGTAAGTATGTCAGCGGTGTAGTCGGTAAAGAAGATTGGTCCTTGGATACACCTAGGGGAACGCCGGCCTTAATGGGCTTGACGTCTGAAAATGAAAAGTGGGTTAGATTGTGACGCCTCGTCATGCTTAATACCTGGATGCGTGGTGGATCAATATACATGTATCTTCTTCATGCATCGAAGATATACCGAAACTAGCCAACACGAATAGTCAGACCAGGATAGTCGGAAACCAAAAACTTCGGGTCAATATTATTTTTAAATTCTATCAATCAATAATATTCTTTTTATTACAACTAACTACACTCATATGGCTTTTAGATCGGACCGTTGATGAAACATCCATTAACCGCAAGATGCAGTTTTGCAAATATAATTTTAAAAAAAACTAACTAATATCCTCGAAATGAAAAATGTGGCTCAAAATACTACAACATGTCAAGGAATATGGTAGTAGTATACATGTAAGAAGAATGAGAAAAACGTATACACAATAAAATCTGTTCACATCCTTGAATCGTTATCTTGAACTGGAATATAATTTTTTATAAGAAACCATGGCGAGGTTTCGCCTAAGTTCTTTTCAATGCATCAGTGTTTATCGATGAGAGCCGTCAAAGGATGAATGCCGATGAACTGTCATAAATTGTATGGCATGGTTGTTTTTGCTCCCTACTTATAACCTTGCTCCGCTCTGAAGATGGCGTCTGACGTCCCAGGATGAATGGAAAAAGATATTCTGACTCAAGAAGAAAACAGAATATCCAGCCGTTGATGAAGGACCCATTGGCGTTTAAGTCGAACGAAAACAATTTTCAAGGCTTACGGTAAAGTTCCACTTAAGTTTTTATGCCGGAAGGAATTTTGAGGGTCAATAACCATAATATTTGTTGCCGGCGAGCTGACGACGAAAATAGCCAATGGACAAACAAAATTAGCGAACTCGTCAAGCGCTTTTTCCCATTAGGGCAATTTACCTAATATACGATAAACGAATGAGGTAACCGAGGAACAAGGAAGCGCATTAAATTATACCCCGACTTAAACCAAGCCCAACGGAAAAGGAACTTTCTTTTTCTTTTGTATATTTGTTACAAAAATCAGATGAAAATTACAATAATCAGTTGAAATTCGAAGAACAAAACAAAACTTAATTCTTGTATGGGGGGGAACATTTAAGGGCTTTATGGGAGAATTTAATTAATTATGATTGATCATAATATGTTATACTGAGAAATGATCTGTTATTCTGGCTTTTTTCGAGTTAAAATGTTGAAGGTTTAAGCGAGAAGAAGAAATATTATTATTAATAATAATAATCAATCGTCGCTGTTTGGATTTTTGAGGTGTACTAGAGAAAGTTTTGTGTTTTTCGTGTATGTTCCAATCTGCAGCTTTGTTTGTGGTTCGGTTGTTTCCTATGTTATATCGTGTTTTGAATGGAGCAAAATGATGCGTTTGAGAAGTTCATAAAGTTCTTCGCTTTGAATATGTTCTGTTTTGTCCATTTTACATGCCATGAAGTAATTCGAAGCCTGCCTTCCTATGCATGTGAATGTTTTGGGATGTCTTTTGTACATTTTTGTTTACTTAAGTCGAGAATGTTTATGATGTTGAAGTGAATGTTATGTTTTTATATAACGAGTTCAGGTCGGTTGTTGATAGTCAATGTTGGTGTCTATTATCTGTATGGCATGACTCATCATGTTTTGTCATATTCACGAGATAATAAGCTTCAAAGTCTTATTAAAATAATTCAACATGTAGAACAGAAGTAGGGTTGCTTATGACCAGGCTTTTTTTGTGTATGTGGCACAAACCACCATACACCATGATTAGAATTTTAATTGCTTACTATTTATCAAAAAAAGACTCACCATGTGCTGATCGTCTGACTGGAATAGATGGCAGTAGAGTAGAGGTTGGTCTTTGTCTTTGACAGTATAGAAGAGGTAGCTGGGCTGAACTGTCAACCTGGAAACTAGCCTCAAAGTGTGCGTGCACAAGGCAGCGTCGTTCTCCTCCAGCCTCACCTCAATGACTCCATGTTCAACCCTTGCAACAACCTGAAGAAAAAAATCAATTCAGCTTTGATTAAATTTATGACAGTGACTAAAAAAAAGAAAAAAAAGTTGATGTTAATTCAATACTTTCGATTTTCGAAAAAATCTTTTTTAACCAGCTATTCGACATATAATTAACGTGTGTGTGGTGTTTAGTGACCGTTAATCAATGATTATTCGGAGATTGTGAGATGCGGTCTGGTGTGACGTAAGTTTTAGAAAAACATTTTCTTATCATGCCAACGTTTCGATCTTTATTGAGATCATCTTCAGGGCTCAAAGTGTTTGTTTTCCGTGTAGATGTATCATCCTTTTGTGTCGTGTTCAGAGTGCCCACTGGGAAAAGAATGACACATCTACACGTAAAACAAACACTTTGAGGCCTGAAGATCGTCGCCATAAAGATCGAAACGTTGGCATGATAAACAAAATGTTTTTCTAAAACCTACGTCACACCAGACCGCATCTCACGATCTTCGAATAGTCATATAATTAACATTTCAATTAATTAATCTTTAATTAAGGTTTTGGTTAAGATAAAAAAGTCAGTGCCACAAGCGGGATTCGAACCCACGACCTTCGGCTAAATACGCCGCTGCTCTACCACTTGAGCTATCGTGACTTCGATCCACTCGGACACTAACTTCCCATCTCAACCCACCTTTTTTAATGTTCCCTCCTTTTTGCCATTTTTCAAAATGTAATAGACATATAATTTGCGCTACGAAAGCTTGAACGTCCTGTCTTATTTTAGTATTTAGCGTTGCTAGATCAATACTTAACAACTTATTGCCAACAATAATGTATGAATGCATGCTGAACCGGCGTAGAGTCACTTATTGGAAACGTTTTCACTCCAGGTTGTTGACACAATATGTGACCTTATGCCGGTTCACCATGAGTTCACAGACTCGCAGACCGACACCCATCATCAACTCTAATGTATGAATCTACTGTAACTGAAGCAAATCGTTATTATTTCTGAAATTTAAACGTCTAATGTGAGATACCATTTTACAATTCCTATTCCAATTAGAACTAAATAACAGCTTTTATTAATTAAAAGTTTAAAGCCATGATGTGAACAATCACCAGACATTTGGCACCAAAAACAATCCGCATCATTCAAACCAGCATTTCATTCTCTTTTTGGTTTAGTACTTTACAACTGATACATTAAACGATAATTTAAATGCTAACTTTATAAACAAAAAATCAATATGGAATTAATTTAGTAAAAGGTTTAATGGAATCATGACAACAACCAACGAACGAATGCGTCGGGTAAGCGCTGCGCTGAACAAATTTTATCTTTTGAGACAAATACAGAGAAATTTTTTAAAATAGTGAAATCACATCAACGGTTTAGAAGACAATTCAGATTGTCGGTCTTGATAAATATAATTTGATAGCAATTAACGTAAAATGAAACTCATAGTGATAATGCATCTTTAGACATTTTTAGAAAGGAAAACGTGTTTTTCTTTATCTTTATAGATGTATTGTTAAGAAAATTAATTCTTTTCTCATATTAAGACTTTCATTAGTTCAAAAACATCCATTAATTCATAGCAATTATTTCAACTCTTGGTTTGTTGAACCCCTTAGTAATTTGATTCTCTTATAAATTTAAGAGCAATTTGATTTTACTTATCGATTTTCCCAAATCATCAAGAACTGACCGGTCATGCCAAATTGCGACTGAGCTCGCTTCCCAACCAACTGGATAGGCATCAACGGGGCTTTCGACAGCTAGTATTTCAGCCCTTATCGCATGCAAACTATAATCTAGCCTAAAACTAACGTCTATAATACAATCGCACAAAAAAATACATTCACACCTATGTACATTGCACTCATTCTGATTAGTCAGTGAAACTCGATACTGCTAGACCTAGACCCAATATTAATAATCTAATCTAAATTAGGGACGATGGGGTACTATTATAAATATTCCGCCATCTGCCCTAAACACACACAGTGATGGAGCGGCGATGGTACGCTATATTTCACCACCCCTCACCAATCACACTAATAAATACAAGCACTCAAACAAAACACATAACACAAAACACGTCCTTCAAGGAGAGGAACAAGGGCCCACAACCATTTTTAAATTTGGCGACATTCCTAAATAGTAATTCATATAATCGTATTCAATGTTATTTTTTTACATTTGGTCAATTTCTATCGAAATTTTTAAAATTTTGAGGGGTCAATTTTATTTTATATGTTAAAAATTACAAATTTATTGACATCTTAACGACTATAAATAATGTTCAGCAAAGACCTCAAATAATTTGGTATACTCAATCTATGGTAATCTCAATCCACCTTTGCGATTTAACTCTCTGTCGTTTCTGTTTTAAAATATCTCATTTGAACAACTACCACCCGAAGCTCCCATGATCCGGATATATTCCTAATAGTTTTGTAGTAAAGTTTTAATTATTTTTTTATACAATGAACAAAAATAGATAGTAAATATCAAGTAGATTTTTACTAAAAAAGAATATATAAATATTTTTTTTTACAATTAAGGAGTGAAGCACCCATCTCAAATTTAAATTGTATCGGTAATCCGACATTGAAGTATGTAAGCAGGTCAATAGAATTCCTAGTTGTAAAATTTAATGTAATTTTTGTATATAGAATAATCATCATTGATAAAATACATCAACAATTATGAGAATGTTATGAAAAAGCTGTTGAAGCTGCTATTCTGGAATTCCAATTGCGAAACGATCGTAAAACTAGACGGTCAATAAAAACAGGCTGTGTCAATTTGAACAATCTCGTTTACCAGTTCACCGCCTATCATTGACAAACGATAACTGGACAAATATTTGTCCTTCTGACAGAAGCGAAATGGGATTGGATAATTGTCTTACTTGTTCTCGAATGTAGACATGTAGGATTGTTTCTCGAACTTGCAAATAAAAGAAGCAAAAAAAATCCCGAATTTTTATGGTTTGTACTCAAATATATACATAAGTTTAAAATTCAAAAGGAAAGAAAAATTTCATATTTAATACACTTCTAGTACTTACTAGAGCTATAAGCAAATACTTGAGCCGTAGATGGTAAAGTGCTTAATTAAGCCTTCTGCTTTAACTTTGCTCACTTGCGATAACATTCTGTTAGTCCTGCATAAAATTGATACCAATTGTTCAATATTTTTTTAACAGTGGCAGGGGTGTTTTTCAGAATATTTTAAATTTTATCTATATCTGTACTAATATAATAAAGAGACAAAGTACAAAAATCAGAGAAAAAGTATAGATTAAATCTTTTTTTGCCGGGGAAAATTGTCCGTTAAGAGGTTTCCTGTATCAAGATTCGAACTCTGTTATTTTTAGTGCGTTTCTTTTCCTCTATTTTCTCTTTTCAACAGAAGAAATTACACAACGCATAATCTGTATATTAATTATTGTCCACCTCTTGACATGCTAAGACGTATAAGAATATGAAGGGCGAAAAATGAAAAGCCTTTTACTGGAATCGAGCTTTAAACTTCTATCTAGGGGCGTCGGTGGCCGCAACGGTTTAAGCGTTCATTGAAGAAAAAGGTACCAAGTTCGAATCCAGTAGCCCTGCTTTCGAACCCTACATAGTTTACTTATTTACAATGTGCTTTTTTTCAAAAACACCGACACCCCATGACTTGATTGATATGACTTATGGTTTTGTTTACCCACGTGAAAAAAAAATGAAAATTAACATTCCATTTACTTAAAAATGTATTTCTTATTTATCATATTTATTTGTGATAATTATAATTAGACTTCAGGTTCAAATAACCTCGTAGTTGAAATAACCTCTTAAAAATGTGCTATCTAGGGCGACAGCTAGTAGTACAACATAAAATGGAAATTTCACTACCATAAGCATCGAAGGAGAACTCCATCGGACTTTAAGGACGGCCAACAACAATTATTATTCACTGGAAGCCACTACAATAAATAACGCCAAGGCTTCGTCCGAGGGTCAAACAACGAACGGCAATTGAAACTTTTCGACTTGGATTGAAAAAGCTGTTCCACTTTCACAATTTTGTCTGCTGCTATTCATTAGACCAAATGATCGATTCTTGTTAAACTTAATTTAAATTCCTACAGGTTTTCCGCAGTTTTCTTTTAGCCTCGCGGTTGGAGAAAAAAGTAACAGGGCAGGGGACAATCCTTAGCTTCATTGCTTGTAAAGCTTTTTTATGTAGGCGGTTTATGGAAAACAGATTATGACCCAGATTTTCGCAATATCGAAAATAAAGCATACCATTTAATATTTGCATCACCCCATCCTTGAACTATATTTTAACTACCTATTGTGTTAAATAACAGACCTTAACAATTTTTAAAAAAACTGGAAACCGGAGATGCTGGTTGGAAGGATTCCTCTGTGTTCTGACAAAGAGAAAAAAAATAATGCGAGTTGCAGTATCGCCGTGGCATTTTGTCCTTTCGTTGTATGGTGCACTGATTGCTTAGCGTTCTCTTATAACTAAAGCATCGATTTTGTTATGTACGAGAATGAACATTAAAATACATTTGTGACTGGGTTCTAAAAATCCTGGGATTTTACCAGTTTGTTTATTCTTGAAAATCATAAAATAATTACATAAATCATTTCGTTAATTATCAAAAAACCTAAATATTAACAAAAAATACGTTTTCCCCTTGTCTGTGTGCATTATCATGAATTTCACGTTACGCTAATTGCAATCAAATTATGTTTATCGTGTTGTCAAAGTCGTTTTTATTACGAAGGACGAGAGTGCTGTTTGGGTGAAAATACTAGCCAAAATTAATCGAACCTTCAAAACATTCTGTTTTAACGAATAACAAGGACGGTGGGCATGTTTTATCAGCATATTACGAAAACACGAAAACTCCTTACGTGAAAGAAAATATTTTTAAAAACAATTTAATGCAGATCTTATATAGAAAACCAGGGTCCCACTTGGAGTGTCTATAAACAAATAAACTTGATCCTGAGTATATTAT